GAAACTAAGAATTTGGACTTGTAGCAGGACACCAGCAATTTGATGTTAATTGATGGAAGATTCTCAAAATTAGGTCTCAAATTAAAATGAAGATGTTTTGTTCTATTGAAAATAAATCAGTGCATTCCACTCAAATTATTACCAGGATGCAAACTATTCCACAATCATAAGATTTATTGTAAAATAAAGAAATACAGCAAAATAAAACAAAAGCTTTTACATCATCAAGTATGAAATTTGATAATAAACTTTCAACATTGATTTACAGTGATATTAAACCAAACAGCTTGTTGTAAAATGATTGGAAACATGATTGAATTATGACAGAAATATTTTGAACAGTAGAACTTTTGGATGAATTTGTCATTTTAGGAGATGAACTAAATGAGAATGATGCTCATGTAAAACTTGTCAAATCTTCTCTGACAAAACCAAACATCTTATTCTGCTGTTGACTCTTGTTTTGGTGTCGTTTATTGGATTCAACAAATAAGCCTTAAGACACAAAACATATTGACAACTTCATTTACTCATTGAACAAACTGGAGCCTCAGAAGCATGTGGAAGAACCATACACAGCCACAACTTAGTATTTCATTGTTTCTCATTATAATTAATGTTTTTATGCTTTTATTCATGCTGCTATAATTTGTTGATATTAATATTTGATGCTGTGGTCTTTTATGGTAAGCACTTTGATAACAGTTACTGTTTTAAATGAGCTATATAAATAAATGTGACTTGACTTGACAACAGCCTGGCACCTCTTCATGCTGCTCACCAGCTTGGTCACACACTGCTGTGGGATGGCATCTCATTCTCTACCAACATTTGTTGCAAGTCAGTCAATGTGATTGTTTATAAAACAACTCCTTGTCAACAGCATTCTGCTGTGAAAGAATGCTACATGAGCTACTAATAAATCGACACATTTGCACGACACCACTAGTTTAATTTGTCACCGTTTTTATGAAGGAACATGTTCTGTTTAGAAAACAGAGACAAACTCAACAACAGCATTGTGTAAAAGTGCAGACATTTAATATTAGCTAATATAGAATTTTTTTCAGATTGGTATGTCATTATTGAGAACGAGGTTATTTTAAAGCCTGCAAAACAATAAAAAGATACTTTCTTGATTAACTATTTCATTAAAAAAAATCTGCCTTTATTTTTTATCATTTTACACCAACTAATAAAATGTAAAATAACTGTTGTCACAATTGCAAAAGAGAAAATTTTAATCACGCTAACAAATGAAAAAAAATAACTAAGACATCAGACTATTGTCAGAAGATAAAGTGTATCAGGGTGAAACACTTTGATTATGATTTCCAACAGTTATTTGTCTGCGACAGCAGTTACCCTTTCAATTTGTAGTCATTCAGATAAAAGCTGCAACTATTGACGAGGTCTGTGGTGGATTTTGAGTCTTGCTTTTTTTTCCCATTCTAATGCAAAAGAACAAAGAAAAATCAGTAATATATACACATAAACTAAGTAAAAACTGCTGATTAAGATAAACTGAACTACTACCCTTGAGTGTTAATTTCGTATACAGGGAATAGGTTCAAATAAAATCAAAAGATGTCATCGAACAAATTGATTCTCAAACGATCAGATGTAGATTTCATCAAATCTAATAACACAAAGCTTTGGAGGAACAGTCAGAATGCAGAGTCAATGCATTACAAGTACACAAAACTCCCAATGCTTGCTCTGTCTTGGTTTTGATCCTAGTTTTGTCTTATCCGTCGTTTCCATTAGCAACGGTACAGCACGATTTGACTCGACTCAGCATGGTTTCAAGGCTTTTCCATTAGTAATGGCACGTAAAACCGGTCCCTTTTTTCAGAACCATTTTCTCTGTGGTACCAGCCAGGCCGAGCAGGTACCAAAACGTGACGTCAGAACACTATTGGTCACTTATTAGTCAGGGGGCGGAGTCACTGGATCTTTCAGAAACTTTTCAAAACACTGATGCGCCATTTGCAATTTCTCGCAACTCGGAGCAGCGGCTGGACGTATTTTAAAGATTTAAAAACATTAATGAGAACACAGTGGTCTAATTCCGACTTGGGGCTCGGGATCCCGGCCTAGCGTGCTCTGCGGGCTCCAAGTTCTGCTGGTCACTGCGGAGGATTATACAAGCTGCTGACTCGCAGAAGGCTGATGCCCGGACCCCGGCCTTGCGTGCTCATGAAGGCCGCCGAACCCCAATCCCGGCAGAAGGGTCTGGTGCACCGAGGATGGAAATTATTTTTAAAAACATTTTATGTAATTTTTTTTTTTTTGTCAGTGAAGATTAAAACAATAAATAAACAGTACCAGCTTGATCATGAAATCCTGTTGTCACTTTAATAACTATTGAATAATCTGTTAAAGTTAACTCAGCTGAAAAATTATAAAAAGACAAAATTATCAGATCCATCAGGAATATTTTCCTCGAACATGTTTAAAGAAGAGCTCCAGCCTTTAGTTCAACTTTATTCTAACCTACATATGTATAAATCACAAAAGAAGAATTAAACTTTAAAGCAAAGCTAAAAATGATTTTTTTTTTAATCTGTAAACAAGAAACAAAACCACGTATCTAAACTAAACAACAAAAGTAGACACGAGCGCAAATACATCAAATGTTGAAGAAAACATAAAAATTTTAAACATAGATGTTTTTGTAGAATCTGCTTCATCAGAGATTTAATGGTGAACTAAAGTTCATTAAAAATTCATTAGCAGGATTTATATATATATGTAAGGGCTGGACGATATGTATAAAACTTTTATCACAATATATTTCTTAATTTCGGTCAATAACGACATAATCAGATATCGATATAAACAATATAAAAGCCTCAGAAAAAATGTACAAATAAATTAATGTTCACCTTTTATTTGTATTTAGCCTTCAAAAAATTTTGAAATCGCCGTCAAATAAACATAAAATTCTCAACTTTGTCAATATTAATAGTTTTAACTTTAAACAACATAACCTCCGTGTTTGCTGCATGGGTTTCTCTTTTGATACAGCTGGGGGTGTTGATTCAGGGACGCGTTGGCTCAAACTTTTAATGTGCTTCATCTTTTGGCTCTCAGCGTATTCTATCGAGAAGAACAAGTTAGATGCGTTCCCAATGCTAGTTGGAATGACTCTCCGTCACATTTTGCAGCACACTGAAACCTGCAGTTTATCGTATCTTAAGATAGCCGAACCCATTCCAAACTGCCAAATTAGTCTTTCCTCTCTTATCAATGATGTCATCTGCTTTCTCTTCGCTTGTGAACCATTGTTCAGTCACATTCTGACAGTCATGGGCACTCATTTTGAAGCGAAAACTTAATGCGCGTTGGAGATTAGCTTAGCCTAGCTTAGCTTACCGCTAATTCCTTCTGGACTCGAGCTCTGCGTAATATTTACGTCGCCGTGCACTTACGTAATTGTGTTGCATATTTTTCTGTCCGGGCTGAAACTGAAGCGGCTGCTTCAACACGAACAGAAAAAGAAATGCATCAGTGAAACGCTATAATCATATTGAAATATCAAAAAATGTGTTTAAAACTCATATCACCATTATTGAATAAATATAAAAAAGTTAAGTCAGGTCTTTTTTTAGATTTTTCTACCTGGATTATTGAGCATACATCAGGATATTATAGAATAAAAGTATATTGCCACATACATCAATATCAAATTATTGTCCAGCCCTAATATATATAGTTTAATTTAAGATAAGTTTAATAATCTGTATTCTTTTTAATTTACCAGAAACTTCAAAATAAATTCTCATCTGGTACTGAAACTTGTTTCAGCTTCTCACCGCCACCCGATGGTGAGGCGCATGACATCAATTTGAACCCAGCCCACTGGAACCAGTGCTGAAAGCATAACGGAATCACAACGTGTAACTTAACAAGCCGGGTAGAACCGTGCTGTACCGGTACTAAAGGTACTAATGGAAAAGGGACATTAGTGTTTACAGAACCAAACCCAAACAGCTACTATAAAGAACAGTCTCACATAAAAGAAAACATCCTCAAGGTTCCTTACAGTGGAGGGGGAGGGGCATGATGAGCGTCTAAATAGCTATTACTGGCACCATCATTCCACAAACAGTGATGCCAAAGCGTTATAATAACATATCATTCAGATCATATGACAGAATAAGATAAGATGACTCACACATAAGGATCATTATATAATGAAGTATCACACACACATACATGTTTCTTCTGACAAAAGCATAAACAGCATTCAGAATATACAACCTAAAGATGTGGACAGTAACTGTGGTAACGGACCACAAACCTCTATACCTCACAGACTATTTAACAACAAATCTAAGAACAGTAGTTCTGTGTGACCTCTTGTGGGTCTTTAATAGGTCATGGGACAAATCCTGTAATGGGTTTTTGAGTTTGTGGCAACTCACTGGGGACAGGCAAACTCCACTTGAGTTAGGCTCAGGATGGTGTCAGGTAAATTTAGTTTCATGTATGAAAGTAGCCTAATATTACAGTAAAGTTAGAGTTTAACCTGGGTTATTCCGACATAGTTTCATCCATATTTTGACATTAACACGTGATGTAAACATTCAACTTACAGGAATGACTTTGTAGTAATTTAAAAAAAAAAAACATAAGAATAGTCTCATTAAAACACAATTAGTTCATCTGCATGAGAGACCGGTGAATTAACCAATTAATTAAATCACAATTCTCTCAGGAATTACACAAATAACATTTCATGGAGTTTGACCATTTTAAAATACAAGTAATTTGATTAGTCGGTTGGTTCTCTCCACATACTGCACAGCCACTGAACCAGTATTTTAGAACCAACATCTATAGTCCAAATTATGATCTAAGGTTTAATTAGTTTATTTTTAAAGTATTCTTAAGAAATTTGGAGCAAATAATAGATTGGGAACTTGTTAAAAATCAAAACAAATTTTATTTGAGTGTCAAGATACCAGTTGCATCTCATGGCCAATAATAGTTGTTTTAATATGTACAGTTAAAAAGTTTTAACTCCTGTGTGGACTCTCATGTGCTTGTTTAAACTTATCTTCTGACTAAATCTTTGTCCACAAATTTCACAAGGAAACAGCCCGTCTCCTGTGTGGACCCTCATGTGTTTGTTTAAATCTGACTTCTGACCAAATCTGTGCCCACAAATTTCACAAGGAAACGGCCCGTCTCCTGTGTGGACTCTCATGTGTCTGTTTAAACTTATCTTCTGACTAAATCTTTGTCCACAAATTTCACAAGGAAACGGCCTGTCTCCTGTGTGGACTCTCATGTGTTTGTTTAAATCTGGCTTCAGACTAAATCTGTGCCCACAAATTTCACAAGGAAACGGCTTGTCTCCTGTGTGGACTCTCATGTGTGAGTTTAAATGGTCCTTCCGACTAAATCTTTGTCCACAAAGTTCACAAGGAAATGGCTTGTCTCCTGTGTGGACTCGCATGTGTAAGTTTAAAGCGTCCTTCCGACTAAATCTTTGTCCACAAAGTTCACAAGGAAACAGCTTGTCTCCTGTGTGGACTCTCATGTGTGACTTTAAAGTATCCTTCCGTGTAAATCTTTGTCCACACTGATCACAAGGAAATGGTTTGTCTCCTGTATGGACTCTCATGTGTGAGTTTAAATGTGCCTTCCAACTAAATCTTTGTCCACAAAGTTCACAAGGAAATGGCTTTTCTCCTGTGTGGACTCTCATGTGTGAGTTTACATATGTCTTTCGACTAAATCTTTGTCCACAAAGTTCACAAGGAAACGGTTTGTCTCCAGTGTGGCCTCTTATGTGATTGCTTAAATTTGTCTTCTGACTAAATCTTTGTCCACAAAGTTCACAAGGAAACGGCTTGTCTCCTGTGTGGACTCTCATGTGTGTGTTTAAAGCATCCTTCCGACTAAATCTTTGTCCACAAAGTTCACAAGGAAATGGCTTGTCTCCTGTGTGGACTCTCATGTGTGAGATTAGATGTGATTTGGAAGTAAATCTTTTACCACAGTCATGGCAGCTCATTGATTTTGGCTTTGCCTGGACTTTCCTGCATGACTCTAATTTTTTTTTCTCTCCAACACATTTCTTATTAAGCAGACATCTTGAAGACTTCACTCCTGAATGACTTATCATGTGTCTTTGAAGAGTCTGGTTCCTGACATACTGCTTACCACACTCAGAGCAGCTCAAAGATTTGTTGACAGTTTTTACCTCTGAATCAGGAGCCCTGCTCTCCTTCCAATCTTTCATACTGTCTTCACGTTCTGATTCAGAGTCTGATGAGTTCTTTAGCAGAGAGTCAGGATTGGTCATTTCACCATCCTCTTCATCATCCTCATTAACGTCAGTCTTTGAAGAGCTGGAACTGCAGTCTGGGTTTCTGCCTGTTAAGTGTTTATTTTCCTCCTCACTCTTTAAAGAAACTGTAGATTCCAAAAACCTGATATCAGTCTCCTCCATACTGAGTTGGTCTCCCAACAGACTAGTCTATGGGTCTTTTCTTCCACTCTACGATAAGAGGCTCTGGGTCCTACTGGTCCACATCAGGCCTTCAGTCTTGAGGAGCTTCTTCTTTTAATCATCTGTAAACAGAGACAGGAACCACTGAAACACGTGCATTAAGGACAATGTTACTTCAACACACACACACACACACACACACACACACACACACACACACACACA